GGATATGGCAAAGGGCTCTATGCAGCACACAAACAAGGCAGGAGAGAATGGGCAGCCCTGCCTGACTTCAGATCTGACTGGGAAGCTGTCTGATTCCCACCTGTTGATTGAGACTGCGCTAACAATTTTGTTGTAGAGCAGCCAGATCCAATCGCAGATGCCCTCCCCAAAGCCCAATTTGGAAAGAACCTCTCTCATGTAAGTATGTGACACCCTGTCAAAAGCCTTCTCCTGGTCCAGGCTGATGAGGCAGGCATCCACCCCCCTGTCCTGCACGTAGGCGATCATATCCCTGATGAGCGCGAGGCTCTCAGCGATCTTCCTGCCTGGTACAGCACAGGTCTGGTCAGGGTGAATCACCGATCCCAGAGCAGACCTGACCCGGTTGGCTACGACCTTAGCCAGGATTTTGTAATCCACATTCAACAATGAAATCGGTCGCCAATTCTTGATTTCTTCCCTCTCCCCCTTCCGCTTGTAGATGAGGGTAATGATGCCCTTCCTCATGGATTGGCACATGGTACCTGCCTGAAGCATACTGTGGTACACCTCCAGCAGGTCCTGGTCGATCAAGTTCCACCGAACAGAATACAACTCGACTGGCAAGCCATCGCTCCCAGGAATTCTATTCTTCTCAAAGGACTCGAGGGCCTTGGTCAACTCATCCAGAGATATTGGCTGGTCCAGCCTCTCCCGCGTGCTGTCATCTAAAACCTCCGTGATAAAGGACAGGAACGACTGGGAGGCCGTGCTGTCAGTGGGCTTCGCGTCATACAGTCTGGCATAAAAGGATTTGCTGATCCTCAGGATGTCAGACTGAGATGACACCACTGAGCCATCTTCTTCCCTCAACCTGCTAAGCACAGAGCTCTCCCTGTGCACCTTCTGGAAGAAGAAACATGAGCACGTCTCATCCTGCTCTACAGAGTGGACTCTGGACTGGAAGATTATCTTGGAGGCCTCTGCAGCGAAGAGTGAGGCTTGCTGGCTCTTCACCTCGCGGAGGTCCTCCGTGACATCGACCCCCACCGACTGCAGAAGGAGCAGGTTCTGCATCCTTTTCTGAAGTCGTGACAGCTTTCCCCGCCTCTCTCTCGCCTTCTGAACACCCTTGAGGATGAAGAACCTCTTGATGTTCCTTTTTATTGTCTCCCACCAGTCGCCCGGAGACTCAAAGAGGGGCTTCACGGTTCTCCAACTGGCGTAATCCCTCTTGAGCTCCTCAATGTTCTCTGGGGTCAACAGTGTCAGGTTGAGCTTCCACATTCCCTTGCTGGCCCGATGGTCATCCTGTAGGTGACAGTCGGCCAGCAGGAGGCAGTGGTCAGAGAAGAACACTGGCTCGACATTGGTGGATCCGACCGAGAACGCTTGAGACACAAACAGGAAGTCTATCCTCGAGCGGATAGACCCGTCTGAACGTGACCAGGTGTACCTACACTGCGCTCCATCCGCAGGGGTGCTGAAGACGTCGAGCAGCTTGGCATCTTTCACCATATCCATCAAGAACCTGGACGTGGCGTCCAGTTTACTATCTCCCCCAACTACTCCCACGCCGGATCTTCCATCTGCTTCTATGATGCAGTTGAAATCCCTGGCCAGAATGACCGGCCTGGATGTAGCCACCAGGAGTGGAAGCTGTTGCAGGACGGCCAACCGCTCACTCCACACTGCTGGGGCGTACACATTGATTAGTCTCAGGGGAGCGTTCCTGTATGTAATATCTGCCAGCAGGAGGCGCCCACCGACCACCTCCTTAACTTGGGAAATGGAGAAGCTGCCTCCTCATAACAGGATACCCAAGCCAGAGGAGCGACAGTCATTACCCTCTGACCAAATCGAATGCCCATGGGTCCACAGGCTTGACCATTTCCTTTAACTGCTGAGGTGCGGTATCCCACACTCCTGCAGAAACAGGAGGTCCGCCTTAATGTTGGTCAGGTAGGCCAAAGTGGAGACACATCACGTTGTCAACCTGATACTGCGCACATTAATACTCGCGATCCGTACACCCATTAAGTGTTAACCGCGGTAGCATCCCCGAGTCCATTTCCCCCCAAGGTCCAAACCCTGTGCCAGTCCCTGCATTCCCGTTGTGCGGGCAAACAGCTGGACACGTTCCAGGCTGAGGTAACCGGCCATGCTGTCTTCCGGGTCACTGTCCCTGTCTGGTGTAGCGGGGGTGAGGATGAGACCGGGAACATCCGCCGGCGGTTCAGGCTGGGGGCCTGCCGTTCCCTGCTCCTTGCAGGAGGCTTCGCTGCTCCCACTCGCCCGGAGCAGCAAAGCTAAAGAACTGATCATCAACTTTCAGAAAGAAAGGAGAACACAACCCCAACAGCATTAATGGAACTGAGGTTAAGAGAGTGAAGAGCATCAAGTTCCTTGGAGTGACGAAAAACGGCAACCTGCCCTGGACTTCCCATGTAGATGCAACAGTCAAGAAGGCACAACAATGCCTCTTCTTCCTCAGACAGCTCAGGAAATTTCAGGGACCTGATCAGGTGCACCCTAGAACCCTGTGGGAAGCTAGAGAAGTGATTGCTGGGTGTAGCGGATGGGCCACTCAAAATGGGAAATCAAGTCAAGTATTGGTTAAAGTTTTTGAACAAAGACACTGATATAAACAAGCTGCAGACCCAGGCAGGCAGGCTGCAGCTGCAGACAGCACAATATACAATTGACTAAAAGACAGCATGAACTGCAGGTGCTGGAGTCAGAGATAACACAGTGTGGAGCTGGAGGAACACAGCAGGTCAGGCAGCATCAGAGGAGCAGGAAAGCTGACGTTTCGGGTCAGGACCCTTCTTCAGAAATGGCGAGGGGGAAGGGAGCTCAGAAATAAACAGAGACAGGAGGGATGGGGCTGGGAAAGGTAGGTGGGATAGTGATAGGTGAGTGCAGGTAGGGAGTGGTGGGGATTGGTCAGTGAGGTGGCAGAGAAGATGGACAGGTTGTGTCAAATCAAGGAGGTGGGGATGAGAGGTCATGGGATGAGGCCAGGGGTGGGGAGATTTTGAAACTGGTAAAATCCACATTTAGGGTACTAGGCTGTAGGCTCCCAAGGCGGAATATTAGGTGTTGCTCCTCCAGTTTGCGGGTGGCATCATTGTGACACTGGAGGAGGCCCAGGATGGACATGTCACCCAGGGAGTGGGAGGGGGAGTTGAAATGGTTTGCAATCGGAAGGTGTTGTTTGTCGTAAATAGAGCCCAGATGCTCTACAAAGCGGTGTCCAAGCCTCCACGAGATCTCACCGATGTACAGGAGGTCACATTGGGAGCAGCAGATGCAATAGAGATAGTAGGACAATAGTAGACGTAGTAGCACAATATACAATTGACTAAAAGATAGCATGAACTGCAGGTGCTGGAGTCAGAGATAACTCACCTATCACCATCCCACCTACCTTTCCCAGCCCCATCCCTCCTGTCTCTGTTTATTTCTGAGCTCCTTTCCCCCTCGCCATTTCTGAAGAAGGGTCTAGACCTGAAACGTCAGCTTTCCTGCTCCTCTGATGCTGCTTGGCCTGCTGTGTTCATCCAGCTCTACACTTTGCTGTTGCAGATGCAATAGACCATGTTGACAGATGTGCAGGTGAACCTCTGTCTAATGTGGAAGGTTTGTTTGGTGCCTTGAATGGAGGTGAGAGGGGAGGTGTAGGGACAGGTGTAGCACTTCCTGTGGTTGCAGGGAAAGGTGCCAGGAGTGGTGGGACCAGTGGGGAGTGTCGAGCGGACAAAGGAGTCGCAGAGAGAGCGGTCCCTCTGAAAGACAGATAGGGGTGGGTAGGGAACTATATCTTTGATTGTGGGGTCAGATTGTAGGTAGCGGAAGTGGCAGAGAATGATACGTTGGATATGGAGGTTGGTGGGGTGATATGTGAGGACAAGGGGGATTCTGACTGTTTTTGTTATGGTGAGGGTATGTGAGGGCACAGGTGAGGGAAATGCAAGAGATGCAGTTTAGAGTACTTTTGACCACCAAAGGGGGGAAGTTGCAGTCCCTGAAATAAGAGGACATCTGGGATGTTCGGGAGTGGAACACCCCATCTTGGGAGCAGATGCTGTGGAAGCGAGGGAATTGGGAGTAGGGGATCGCATTCTTGCAGGAAGGTGGGCGAGAGGAGGTGTAGTCTAGGTAGCTGTGGGAGTCGGTTTCGAGGCGGTCGCCAGAGATGGAGACAGAGAGATCCAGGAAGGAGAGGGAGGTCACGACGGCAGTTGGAGATGAAGAGGTCGAGGGAGGGTAGGAGGCCTTGGGGTGCTGTCCAGGAGGATGGGGTGTGTTGGAGGTTGGATAAAGGGTCGGTGGAGGGGTTATACTTGCGGTTAAAGAAATAGGCATGGAGGCAGCGAAAAAAGTGTTTGACGTCCAGAAGTGAATGGAATTCATTGATGCTGTGGGCAGAAAGGAATGAAAGTGAGTCCTTTACTGAGGACTGACTGTTCGTCAAGCTGCTTCTGAAACACCTCACACTCTTTTCTGGGAAGCCTACCTGACTTACATGCCCCTGGCACTTTCAGAAATGGAGGACCAAAGTCTTCAGTGAGGGGGAGGTCTGGGGGGATGGTGAGGACCGGCAAGGCTTGGGGCTGGGACTGGGTGTAGAGCCGGTGCTGGATTGGAGCTGGGTGTGGGGGCGGAGTTAGTGACATCATCAGCAATGTCGGCAGTGGGTCGGGCAATGTCAGTGTCCGTGCGTCAGTGGCATGAGTCATGATGTTGACATCGGTGGTGTTGTCATCGTCGCTGCAGGCATGAGCGGCGACATCGGCAGAAGTGACTTTGTCCTTGATGTTGGTGTGGGAGTGGCATTGGCAGCACCATCCTTGATGTAGGCAGTGTCAGCGGCATTCTCAGTGTCGGCGATGGAAGTGGCGGTGTCTGCGGTGTGTGGCGGCAGCAGCGGCATGGTTTGCGGCAGCAGAAGTGACGTGACTGGCGTCGGCACAAGTGACAAGATCAGTAGCATTAGCGGGTGAGGCAATGGTGACCACATGGTCAGTGGCGCCAAGCACATTGTGGGGGAAGTCCTGGGTAGGGTTGAGGACTTGGGAAGGAGAAGAGGCCTGTGTTTGGTGGTAAACACAGGTAAGTTTAGTGTATTTACTGAATAAAAACCAAAAGAACTGTGGATGCTGTAAATCAGGAACAAAAACAAAGTTGCTGGAAAAGCTCAGCAATTTTTATTTAGTGTATTTACGTTTTTTAATGTCCGATAGGGCGGAGTAAAAGCATTGGTTGAGGTTCTGCATCCTGCGCAGAATGAACAACAGAAGAGGTCCTTAGCAGGTCTGGGAGAGGGAGGCTCTGAGCTGGGGTAGGCTTCATTGTTGTGCCAGAAGATGCCGGCGCATTGCTGAGAGTGTGTGCTTGAGGATCCACAGAGAAAACCATTTTTGGAGGATCTGGATGTGTATGTAGAGGTTGTCGCGGTCAGGGCCAAATTGGGATGGCCTAAATGTAGACTTGAGTCCATTGGGGATGATCCGGTTCCGTAGGCAGGTACTGAGAAAGGCGAAGTGGCTGTAGTACCTGGTTTGCTTG